GAAATAACAGCGTTATTCGGACCGGAACCAAATTCAAAAATATTTTAACACATGATGTAATTTTTGGCGGGAAATGCGATGGTGACCTTAAAACGTTATGTGGACGTCTACATAACGGGGCATATCTACATAACGTGAATGTGCAATTATACTTTTGTCTACATAACTACGCAAAGACACACACACACACACACACACACACACACACACACACACACACACACACACACACACACACAATCGGATCTCTTTTCATAGGAGAGCCCAAGAATGATGACAAAATTAGGCGATGCGTGCATAAAGATTACAACCAATACAGCACTAGATCTAGGCCTAATGACATGACATCCTATATCCTTGCTATCACAGTGTAGGATAGCCAAAGCACAAACCATGCCAACATCCCACCATTTCCAACCCTGAGAGCCAATACCATCTATCTCAAAACAGAAATTATACGTAGAATAAGTGTTTTGACTCTTAGTTCGCTGACCGTGTTTTGCACACGTATCTGGCTGGAGGTTAACCTTTAAGGCCAGCAGCGGGTCAACTGGTGCTTGAACAGATTCATCTGACCAAACAAGCCAGAGAGTTACAGGTAACAGTATAGTACTGTAAGTCGTAGTTTCGCCTTAACTTGGAGCAAGTAAACAGTTGACTGACTACAGCCGCCGGGAGTTGTACACAAGGTTCTAAACACAGGTAAAACGTAGCTTTATGATCGCTTTCGTGTATGCACGAGTTTCCAAAAACAGTAGCCTAACAAAGTATCTTTATAATCGTTTGCATGTAGGCGGGGATGATAGAATCACTATGTGATGAACCATGCTCTTTGTATTGATGTAAAGAAGACTGAACACTTTCCCAGCGGAAAATGCACTATACGAGTATAAATTATGTAGGCCTTTTGTGTAATTATGACTGTTACAATAGTTCAACCAGAGCGTAGGCCTGGGAGCGTCAGATCAATAAAATAATATACGATCTTCGGCCTAGTTTCTTTTCTAGTCTGATTCTTGAAAATACGGCAATTATTGCCTTCCTCTTTGGGTTCAGTCAGTTACTGGTGTGGCATATGCACAGAATTCTACACATTTCGTGGGCATGTGGTGTGGGTTTTCGTTCGGAGGATTTGTAATTCGTTGAATGGGGTAAGTACCTCGAATCATGTATTATTTATCTGCCAGTCTGTCTGTCTGTCAGTCTGTCTGTTGATCAGTCGGTCGGTCGGTCGGTCGGTCGATCAGCCTGTGTGGCTCTTTCTGTGCATATTTGAATGCGGGTATGTGAGTGTGTGTGTTTGTGTGTGTAAGTATGTATGAATGAATGTATGTATGTGTGTGGGTGTGTATCTATCTTTCTATCTCTCCTCTTTCTCTCTCTCTCTCTCTCTCTCTCTCTCTCTCTATCTATCTATCTCTCTCTCTTTCTCTCTCTCTTTCTCTCTCTCTCTCTCTATATATATATATATATATATATATATATATATATATATATATGTTACAGTAAGAATACGTACCTAGTGAAAAAGTGTAATCACTGAATATTTTAGTGAATACACGTAATCCCCGTTTCACTCAGGGGTTTCACGTAATCACTGAAATTTATGGTGATTACGCGAAATCCCTAAAATTTGACCTATCATTTTACGTGTTTTTACTACTGTGCATTTAGTGAATTCACGTAATAGCCCCGCCACTGTACAGCGACACAGTTTGGTGTGCTTACTATGAACCGCAAATACCACTAGTTATAAGTGTGCGTGTTTTGAACAACAAATGTGTTATTGCTGTGCTTGCTCTCTTCACTATTCGCCTTCCTCAAGCAAAGTCAAGGTGTTTATCGAGGAAAAGTTTACACAAAAGCCTACCGATAATTTTAAAACCTTTTCGTGCCTCGGCGCTCCACGTTGGCGCCCTGTTTTTCCTATCACTTTGGTGCGTAGCGCTACTCATTTGCAAAATTCTGCTTAGTCAAGTTGGTCTATTTTCCAAGAAAATGTTCATCTTTCGGTAAGCGAAAAAAAGACCCTTTAGAGATTCAAATTTTTCATATTCTGAACACACGAGGCAATTCGTTGTTTCGCTTTGTTTTAAAAAAAACACTTTGTAAAGGCTCTGAAAGAAGAGCGGGAAAGTAGCAGGTTTCGGAAGTGTATAAATCAGGCCTGCTGTTCAATAGGTGAAGGTGTTTGACTCAGGACCCCCTCAGCATACTACTCAATGCTACAAACAGCCCTGTGGTTGAGTGTGATCATGGCATCACAAACATGAAAGGATATCTATTGGTATTTTTTTCGATAAAAGCGAAACTTGAATCTCTTTATGCCAACTTGAGTGAGAGAAATGAAAATCTGAAGAGGCCAACGGGCTCGACTGTAATTGGTTCTATGTGACGAACAAACAAAAAATATAACGCTTGCTCATTGGCTGCGATGCCTTAATGGAAATCATTTTCTTCCTGGACTAAATGAGCTTTAGACAGGTTTGCTATCTCGGTGAATTGCCTGATTTAGTAGGTTCTAATAGTGGAACTATCAGTGGGGCAAGTGCATGTGCCCAAAAGGGCCGAGGAAGATGACTCTTTTTCTCCAAACCTGGGCTTAGCAGATATTGCAATTAGACTTCATTATTACTGGTTCCCTTCCGAATGAAAAAAAAACTTCTTGTACCCTGAGCAGAGTCGTTAGAGTGCCACGTTGATTATCTTTGAAATAGACTATAGTGCCAAAGATCTTAATGGGGCCTATATGTTTGGTTGAACGGTTAGGGAGAAGCTATACCAAGGAAAACACAGATGTCAGGAACAAGCATGAAAACAGGATTAACAAGCCGTAGAATTGTTTTTAGGAGCACAGAAAAACAATAATAATTATCTTTTTTTACTGAAGAAGTATCTATTACCGAACGGACTATTTAAGCAATAAACTTTTGCGTATATTACACTTGTCTGATCAGGGATTACGCGTAATTACTGTGACCATTTTTCAGGAATTTCACGTAATTCCTGATTATTTCAGTGATTACGCGAATTCTCCGAGTGAAACAGGGATTACGCGTTTTCACTGAGTATTCACTAGGTACGTGTTTTCGCTGTAACATATATATGTATATATATA